AGCATTCTTACTTTACAGCATTTTTTCACACCTGCCTAAAACTTTTGCACAGTACTGTAATGTACTGAAGACTAGAGGTGGAATTGCTGTATTGTCAGCTGCTCCTTGAAAAAACCACACTTTTTTCAGAACTCAGAAAAATATGCATTTGAATTAAGGAAGGATTAATGAGGCACCAACAGAGTACAACCATATTAAATTGCATATAGTTCTAACTTATTTTCAAGTTCCCAAATTTTGGCAGCGGAGAAACTGACACAAATATCTACCACATATAAGAATATTCCTTTTTCATTAGCATAGCAACTTCCTATTTTAAATTTTTCATTTTAAAATAAAACTTAGTCTTAGCTATACATAATATATCCATACACAGAATAACCTACCAACTGAACTTCTCCAAATGCTCCTCTACCAATCACTTTTACTACTTCATAATCTTCAGCTTTCATACGGAGATCTCTTACTTTGTTTATTGTATCTTTGTCTGTGAAGAAAATATAAAGAAATACTGTAGCACAAGGAATAAAAAGCATGCTTGCAATCTTTGAAATATATTTACATATAAAAATATACTGAATAAATGTCCGATTTCAATTATATTACATTTGTTGGTCATTTCTGGAAACATCTGTTGTGTATTAAATACAAAAATTGTTTAAGGACAATTTCCCAGCTCTTATCCAGGCTACAAATATCTTCTTTGAATCTCAAAAAGATTACTTTCCATTCCCATAGCAACATTCAAATGCCAAATACAACTTCACTGTGGAAACAAGATAGAACTTTAACACTATTGATAGTTAAAGAAATTATTAGAACAATTTGCTCTCCTCACCAAATAATCAGCTACAATGCTATACAAAAGATTTGGTTACATAAAATGGGTTTCTAGTGTTTTGTTTTTGCTATTTTTCATGTAATTTTTAAAATTACCATGAAAACACAAGCAAGAAGCTCTGCATTTTTAAAGCACTACTAGCAGGAAATAAACTACAATAATTTGAATTCCCAGTTGACAGTTATTTTAACTCCAAATTTGGTAACATGCTATTTTAATCTACATGGGTCAACACTGGCATGAGATTATACCAAAAAATTAACATTTCAGTTCTGCTGTCCTCTAACTACTGCAAATTATCAATGTAATTTTACTTTGAGTAAAGTGATCACAATAAAAGTAGGAACTCAGCAAATGATTGTGCCAAAAATGTGTCAGGTATTATCAAATACAAACCACTGTCTGAAAAAAAGCAGCACAATCAGAATTGGCTCTACAATGAGCCATACTCTATATGAGTATATGTATGAGCCATTTTAACCTTTTGTAGTTTTAAATTTGTATATTTTTGCCAAGATTTTATAGTTCATTTGTAAAGCTGCCTAGAATCACTTATCCAGTGAGATGGGTGACATATATAAATTTCGTTAGTTAGTTAGTTAGTAAATAAATAATACTGAGCTAGGAATTCAGATAGCAGATTCAGAGCAAAGTTGAGTAGCAATCTGTCTGCAGATTGTTCACTAACTACACTGTCTTCCCATCCAAACTAAGTGCATACATATTTTCCCCTCCAATTGGTTTAGTGGGAAAAACAGTCCAATGGCAAGAAAAGGACAGAGAAGGAAAACAATCACAAAAAAGCAGTAATAATGTTTTAACTAATTGCCTGATTGCTCTCACAAATTTGCAAAATGTAAGATTCAATGCTGAAACCTGCACTATCTTCTCCAGAGCCCCTAATGGAGACTTATGTCCAATATTATACCCTAACTAATATTGCATCCTGCTTTTTATTCCTGTCCCAGAAGTTATCCTGTGTTCCATGATCACTGAATAAGCTCAATCTTTACTGAGTTATTTTGGGACATTGTTTTCTCATTCTATATGTAAACCTTGGTGTTCCTTCCAAACCTGTAGGGATGGATGAATCTGTTAATTGGGATTTATATCTGTCTTGCATTTTCCAGCATTTTGTTTTGTCTTACCTTCATATCAGTTGTTTTTGTTATATTAGATTCTTGTTGCATTTGTGAATATGAACATTTTTAATATAGGCTACGTTACAAGGTTATATCTATACATTTGCAATACAAGAAAAAAACAGGATTCAGGACTTTAGATGGATGTTTTTTGTTATTTTACTCACAGGGTTTCCAAAGATGTACACTTACAGTTCACCTACTTCATCCTCAAAGTCCTACCCTCTTTGTAGTGAAGGAGCTAGGAGAGGGACCATAAATCTTCTTGTCAAGTACCCAGAAGAATATTGCACAGCAACAATATTGCTTCTAATCATAGGCACAGAATCAACACACAAAAGGTGCCTCCCTTTTCACAACTTTATTCTTTTTATTTTGCTTTTTTTCCCAAGAAGTTTAGAGAAAATCCTTGGTCAACCTATTTTATTATAACTTTATGATTCAGATTAGTTAAGAAATATTGGTTATGAATACACTCCTCCAAAAGCTGATTTCAATCTTCCCTTCCCCCACAAATAAATAATATAGTAGACATCATTATCATAAAAAAGAAATTAAAGAAGAAAGGAAAAAGTAAATTCTACACAGATAAGATAATCAGAAATCCAGGATAGAGGATGTGTTATATATACTTACATTTATTTAAAAAGGTGTCTATGTTTTTATTTTTCCTCAAAGCAGGAAAATCCAAATCATATACCAAGGCATCTAATCCATCCTGAGGAACAAAATTGATATTAATATTGTATTAAATAAAGACACATCTCAAGTATGAGTGTATGCATATATTCCCTTCCTATTGGTTTAGTGGGAAAGATATTATCACAAGAAAAGGGCAGAGAAGGGAAACAGCAATCTTTTTAACTACCTGCTTAATCATGCTTAATTTGCTAAACATTTTAGCATGATTTTAGTATGAATCCTTACATAATAGTTTAGATATTGTTTAGATATCTAAACTATTATGTAAGAATTCATATAAAAATCTATAAATTTGTACACACAGAAAAATATTTCAATCCATAGCAGTCACTCATTTTAGGATATTATATTTAACTGAATATTCAAGGCAGCTAACAACCACCAGAATGAAAAATAAACAATAAGAAAACAGACTAAAAATTAAAAATGATTAACAACAGTTAAATGATTGGTAAAATAAAAATTCTTGGCAATTCTTCTAAAGAAAGATTATGAAAACCAAAGCAATTCCCAAGGAGTATATTTTACAGCTTGGACCAGCGCAGCCCTCTCCTGTGTGTACCTACTAACAGAACTCTAAAAACAGAAATATTTTCAGAATGGCTTCTTCTACAGAACTTAATGCTCAGACAAATTTATAAAAGGATCATGCCTAAGCAGTCTAGCAAGCAGCAGTGCAATGAAACCTGTTCTAATATTAATTTGGACCAAAAAAAGTCATTGCTTCAGGAGGGACACAAGGAACAGTGAAGGAGAAAGGAGATGTCTGCCTAGCCAGTCAAATAGCTGAATCAACCCTGGCAATCAATGGGGTGACATATCACAGTCAGATTGCCCTCACATCCAAGGTTTCTACTAGAAAGCATCTACTATTATTATTTTGACCAATTTCTATTCTGCCTTTTCCCCCAGAAAGTACTCAGTCATAAAAGGTAAAAAAATGAAGTCATATTAAACCATTAATTTATTCAAACCAAAAAGTTCTGGCTAGAGAGAAAATTCTTGACTTGTTTCCTAAAACAGAAAGTGAGGACTGAGTGTAACTCCAGAGGTAATTTATTGGGTCTTCTACTATATGCTTGAGAAATGGAACTCAGAATGTGAGGGTACCTTTGATGATTCCTCTTTAGCTACCTCAAAGTACGCAATCCCTCAAACAGAATGACCCCATGTGACTGAACTTTTAAAAGTCAAAACTATCATCTTAAAATGTGTCTAGAAAGTGACTAGCTACCAGTACAAATCTTTTGTCAAAGTGTAATATGCTCCTAGTATATTGATTTCCTGCCTGGTTTGCTGAATTTTATATCAGCTGATGCTTTTGGAGGCTCGTCAAGTGAAGCCCCACATAAAACATTGCAGCAGTTAAATCAAGACATTATTATGACATTATTAAGCTGCTACCAGATTCTACTGGTTCCGGAACCATCACACATGGCACACTAAACATAATTGTTACTGCCACCAATTCAAAATCTAGAGACACGTAAAGATCAATAAATATTGAACAGATGCCAAACTACGGCCAACCTTTTGAAAATGGCCTATTACTTGTCTGCCAGCTGTATTACCTTTGCCTTACTATCTATTAATGGAAATATTTCATTTTACATTTTTATTTTTATAATGAGACATTTCCATGAAAAAATGTGGAAATAAGTAAATCTTATTACACCAAAAAAAATCATCTGTATCACATCATATACGATATCGCCACCCCACTGCACAATCCAGATCCTTCATTAAATCAATATGGTTTTGTAATCCCAACAGTAAACCAAAATTTGAGAAAATAACATTACTACCATGTGATCAGAAAAATATTTAAGGAAAAAAATTTAGCAATACTTTGAATAAGGTTTTTTATTTCTCTTTATCACAAACCCAAAGCTAATTTAAAATGCAACAAAAATCAAACACAAGTGTTTTTTTTAAATATAAGCTTTATTCAATAAAAGATATGAACATAATACAGTAAACACAACCTATAAAACTGTTTTTATTCCTTATTAACACAAGTGCAACTTTAATAAAACTGAATGTCATAATTTCAGTTCAACCTTTTGATGTTTCATGTTCATTCTCTCTCTCTCTCTTAAGTACAGAAGCTGGTAAGGATTGGAAACATACAAAAAACAGTAATGCTCTTTTGGAAGACTGGCTCTATTCCAAGCAAAAATGTCCTTTCATCTTTTCCTTTTTTGGGCAGAATAGATTTTAACATGCAGTGATAGCTTCTGATCCATTATTTCATTCAAATATAACTAGTTGTTTTCTTCCAAACTGTTTTAAGAATAAATGTGCCCTTTGTATTTTTGTTTAATGTTTAAAAAACATGCAGCAGAGAGTACATTTTCAGCTTAGCATCTGCTCTAAGAACAACTGCCTATCTTTTGAAACAGTATTCTTGGTCTGATTAACCATTAGACCCTAACCATTGTACAAACAGGCTTCAGAGAGAAGCAAAGCTTTAGCCTCAGAAGTATTGGTGCCAAAGGCTCATTTTCTGTAAAAGAGATAATCATACCACCATACTAAGAACACTCCTTCTAAACCATAATTGAAAGTAGTATTTGTAGCTTCTGGGTTGCTCGCCAATCTCATTCCTCACTGTAACTTATCACAACTGACAAAGTTCATTTCACATCTATGGTCTCTGTATCTACCACAACCAAACTAAAGAAAAATATTATTACTACTAGTATGACCAGAAGTCACAATCATAGCTGTTTAAAGGTTGAGAATGAAAGAATTCCTTAAGAATTTGTGAACAATGAATTCAGTTTTGCCTCTAATGTCTCTTACAGAATTAAATATGAATGAAACAGACTAAAGCAGAATAAAGAATATAGAGCTCTACACTCAAATCTTCCTTAGAACTCTTCATATTTGTAGTTTCATATCATTTTTTAAAACTAGGTTAAATATTCAGAGAATGTGATTTTAATATCTTATTTTAATGTGGAAATTAACACAATTAGAATAGCTAACTCAGTTTGTGTCGGGGTTTCAATAAAGACTTCCCAGTGGGGCAACAATCCCCTCTTCACTTTATAACCTCCAGCAATATTTCACACTCAATTCCTAAGAGCCTTCCAACAATCCAGAATTTGGAGAAGGGGAATAATAAAAAAGAGCCTTTCTAGTCCTTTCTTCCAATACTAGCAAAACCCCATTAAGCAAAAGCCTGGATCCAATCCATATTCTGTATTTTTATTACCAATTTGGGGGCAGGGAGGAGAGAGGAGGTAATGTTATTTCTGGCCAAGCTGTATCTGTATTGCTAGCACATGCATACTGATACGTTTACATCTGAATCTAATCATGCACCTCATTTTTTCATAATCAGCCCCTGGCAATACTTTGTATTTAGTTTCCTAAAAGACATATTTTTCTATACTAAAAAAACAAAAAACAAAAACAGAAGAAAAAAATACTATAAAAAGTAGGTAAGTTAACAATTCTGCTTAATTAATTGCACTCATTCTGGATTCTGAACTATCATGATTTAGGAAATAAACACGAGGTAAGCAATCGGAGGTTGACTCTGTTCTGATGCAAATTCAGCTGTATCCCCACCTCTACAAATGAAGTGATAAACTCTATTACTATTGCCTGTTAAAGAAGGAAGGCTTGAAATGAGCAGTGAGATAGAAGAATTGAGGCTTATCCAATAGAATGGGAGAAAGAAGCAGAGAAACCTACTGAAGTGGAATCAAGGTAAGCTGAGGGGCAGAGGGCTCACCAAACATGATTATAAAGTTAGAAGGGAGAATGAAGTTAAAGTGGATCAGTATAAAAGAATTTAGAAAGACTTGTAAGGCCTGCCAACATGATCTGAAGAAAAAGGAGATCTGTGGAGTCCTTGGGGTTCTCTGAGCTTGGTTCTTTTCTTGCAAACGTTTCATTACCCGGCTAGGTAACATTTTCAGTGCTAGAATGGAATGGGGTTTACTCTCTATTTATATACAGTTGGCATGCCGCACCAAAAAGGAGATCTCTGTGCATGTTTTAGGTCAAGGATGGGTAATCCTTTATACTTAAGTAGAGGAGGGAGAAGAGGTCCAAAAATTAAATGTGTTCATATATATGAGGAGAAAACTTTATACTGCTGTTTTTGTGATATGTTACTCCAGGACTTATGTGATGGTTTTTACCTGGTGCCCACATATGTATAGAAAGAAGCTACCTTTGATTTCCAGTAATTGTAGTTGGGGGCTCAAATGACCACAAAACAGGAATCTGAGGACCATAGTTTTCCCACCAATGGGTATCTTCTGGAGGGGGGAATCTTAAGAGAATTAGTGACCAAGCTGAGTTGTGTGCTGGCTGTGTGGGTAAGAGGACAACACCTGGGGGGAATGATCCTGAATGAGTGTGAAACTTTAGTTCAAAGGTACAGTTTATTATTTAGGGGCTTTGCCTCTCCCTCACATTCAAATTCAGAGGTACAATACTTATATTCTAGTATTACCAGTTTCCATGAGATGGTTATTTATGACTGGTCACATCCATCAAAGCAACCATTTTGTGACTGTGCCTATGATATCTTATCAAAATTCCAAATATGCCCATAAACCTCAATTATACCCATATAAAACAATATATCTACTGTCTTCAACTGATGATTACTGAGTAAAGCAGTATAATTCTATCAAAGAGTCTTTGATAAAAAGAACATATATATGTCATATTTCTCCAAAATCATTCCTGCATATTTTCAGCATAACAAATTACACAAATCATGTGGGATTTACTTAGAGTACTTCTTCTCATCTATCTGTAGCTATATTTTTATTCTCACGTGTCTTACTATAACCTTAAAAGTATTATAAAGCTATAAGTGATATTAATGGCCATGTTATTCAATTATATTCTAATAAAACTGAATATTAAAATTTAAGTGCTACATTCATTGTATTACATGTACATCCCAAAACCTATACACCCTATGTGCATATATTTTCATTGACACAATATTCATAAATACATAATATTTTCAATTTTTTTGTGCTT